AATTAGGAATAACCTAAGAATGTGTTTGAGATCCGCAGTTTTCTTGGTTTAACGGGTTACTACTGAAGATTTGTGAAGGATTTTTCTCGTTTAGCAGCGCCTATGACTCGCTTAACCCAGAAAAGGATCAAATTTACATGGAATGAAGCCTATGAGTCTTCTTTTCAGGAATTGAAGATAAGATTGACTACAGCTTCAGTGTTGGTGATACCCGAGCGTGGCTTGGGTTATGTGATTTATTATGACGCTTCACGTGATGGTTTGGGTTGTGTGTTGATGCAGGATGGTAGAGTGGTGGCTTATACGTCTCAATAATTGAAGACTCATAAGCATAACTATCCTAGTCATGATTTAGAGTTAGCGGCAGTCGTGTTTGCTTTGAAGTGTTGGAGACATTACTTGTACGGTGAGAGATTCGAGGTGTTCTTTGATCACAAGAGTCTCAAGTACCTTTTCTCCCAAAAGGACTTGAATAATAGATAGAGGCGATGGGTTGAGTTCTTGGAAGATTACAATTTTGACTTGCAGTATCATCCGGGTAAGGCAAATGTGGTAGCAGATGCCTTAAGCCAGAAATCTCGTGGAACTTTAGCCGGTTTGGCTATTCGAAAATGGAAGATGCTTGAAGATCTGGCAGAGATGGGATTACAGTGTTTTGATAATTATGTTTGCAGTGAGTCAGCATTCTTGTTTAGTCTTGTGGCTCAGCCTACTCTTGTCGGACGAGTGATTGAGTCACAGAGACAGGATCCGAATTTGGATGCCATTTACGCTTTGATCTCAAGTAGTGAGACAGTGAATGATTGGACCTTGCATGCGGATGGAGGCCTACAGTTCAAGGGTTTGTTGGTCGTTGCCACAGTTTGTCGTGAGGACATTCTACGGGAGTTCCACACTTCCTATTTTGCAGTTCATCCAAGTAGTACTAAAATGTATCACAATTTGAGATGTCAGTATTGGTAGAACGGAATGAAGAAGGATATTGCACAATTCGTGGCTAGATGCCTTACCTATCAGCAGGTGAAGGCCGAGCATCAGAGACTAGCCAGTTTGTTACAACCATTGCCTGTAGCGCAGTGGAAATAGGAGCAGATTGCTATGAATTTTGTAACAAGTCTTCCTAGATCACGAAGGGGAAATGAAGCCGTATGGGTCATTATTGATAAATTGACCAAGACGGCTTACTTTTTGCCTATTAAAGCAACAGATGACGCAGATACACTTAGTGTTCTATATGTAAAAGAGATTATAAGGTTGTACGGAGTTCCAGTGGCTATTGTTTCAGATAGGGATGCCAAGTTCACTTCGAGGTTTTGGGAAGGATTTCAGGTAGCATTTGGTTCATCGTTGCACCTTAGTATGACATTCCATCTACAGACAGACGGCCAGTCGGAGCGTACTATCCAAATCTTGGGGGATATGCTTCAGACATGTGTACTTAATTTGGGAGGTAGTTGGGAGGATCACCTTCCACTTATTGAGTTTGCTTACAACAACAGTTATCAGGCGAGTATTCAGATGGCTCCATTTGAGGCGTTGTATGATAGACCTTGTAGGTCTCTTGTTTGTTGGACTGAGGTAGGTGAGACAGTCGCCTTAGGACCCGACATAGTACTCGAGACTACTAAGAAGATTAAGCTGATCAGATAGAGGTTGCTAACAGCTCAGAGCCGATAGAAGAGTTATGCAGATAGGCGGAGACGGTCGCTATCCTTTGAGGTGGGAGACCACGTCTTTCTTCTGGTTTCTCCACGGAAGGGGTTGTTGAGGTTCGAGAAGAGTGACAAGTTATCGCCATGATTTATTGGACCTTTTGAGATCTTGGACTGGGTAGGAAAGGTTACCTATAGGCTTGTTTTGCCACCACAGTTGGATAGGATCCACAATAATTTTTATGTATCAATGCTATGGAAGTACGAGCCGGATCCATCTCATATTTTGAGTTGGGTTGATGTGGACATTGATGAGGATATTTCCTACAAGGAAGGACCAGTTCAGATCCTTGACACACAGCAGAAGGTGTTGAGGAACAAGACGATACCATTGGTGAAAGTTCTCTGGAGGTATCATGGAGTTAAGGAGGCTACTTGGGAACTTGAATAGGAGGTTTGCTCTAAGTATCCAGCGTTATTTTCTTCCTCAAGTATGTCTTGATTTCGGGGACGAAATCTTTTTAAGTTAGGGAGAATGTAATATTTCAATTGGTTATTATATATATAAGAAATAATGTTAAAAGTAATTTTTTTTAATAAGCCGTGGGACCCACTCCTACTTTAAGTCATTACAATGACTATTGGGTCATTACAGACCCATTCTGCCTTTTCTTTTCTTCTCTATGGATTATCTCTCTCTCTGTCATTTCTCTCTATTTTCTTCCTTCAACCATAAAAGCCTCGATCTAGCTATTTTCATTGGGAATTTGATAGTGCCGTTTGCAGCAAAACGAAGAGCTCGGCGAGATCTTCAAGTGGGTGTAAACAATTTTTTCTTTGGTGTATCCTAGGATTTTCGAAATTAGGGTACAAAATTGGGAATTTTTCACCATTTTGGAGGTAGGGGTGTTTAATTTACAATCCCTTGGATTTTTGTGAATTAGTCCTTCATAAATTGTGTTATAACATGCTTGATTTGTATATATTTCATGAGATATTTGCTATATGTTATATTTGAGATATGATTATATGTATTAGTTGATGTTGTTTGAGAAAGCATGTTTAAATGATTATATTCCATGCTTAGTATGATTAATTTGCTAGAATTTGCAATATAGAAGTGTGTTGATTTGTGAAATATGAAAATCTTATGTTAATTTGTGAATTGTAAAAAAAATAAAAAATAAAAAATAAAAAAATAGAAATAATTAATTGTTGATTAGTTCAAGCCCTTTGTGCCTTTAGTGCTAGTTTGGTGATTAGAAAGTATGAAATATAATTTTAGAAATTTTTATATTGTAAAGCATGTCTAAGTGTTAAATTTCCATGCCTGTGTGTTTATTAACTTCAAAGGCGAATGGAGGGGTGGGTTGTGAAGCCCACCCCAAAAAAAAAAAATTTTGTCTTTTTACGATACTAAATTTTTTTTTTTTTTAGTAATATTAGCCTACCCCAAACAAGCCCAATAGGCTAATACAACTTCAGAATCTACGGTTGCCAAATCTGGTGTGAGAATCTGCGAGACTGCGGCTACCAAATTACCAATCCTGGTGTGAAAATCTGGTGTGAGAATCTGGCAGGACCTAAGGAGTACGGTATTTCATTCAATTTCTTGTCTTGTATTTCATTAATTTCATTCTTACCTTGTATTTCATATCGAGGACCTAAGGTATTTTAATTTTAATGAATTCTGAGGTGAAAATTTGTGAAATAATGCTATATATGTAATATATTTAAAAACTCATAGATAAATGATTATAACAATTTTTTTTTTTTTAAAAAAAAATTAGTTCCAAAATTATTGTAATTTTTTAGTTCTTAGGATTGAAGAATTGGATTAGAAATCTGCAGAGATTGAATGATTTGAATCTTACACAATTTTTATCAACATGCCAAGCTTTTTGAAGATGGAAATATTTTCAAAACTAAAAAAAAAAAAAAAAAATCATAAGACTGTACTCGTTCTTGAATATTCTGAAGTACGTTCCTTTATTTTCAAATTGCAACTCCCGTTGAGTGGCCAGTGATATAATTGACTCTTGTAGGGAGTTTATCAAGGATAGCTAACCTCAAAAAGCTCTAAAGTTAATTCTTGAAAGGTAAAGCTCTAAAGTTACTCCTTGAAAATTAAAATACTTTTTGAGTGAATTCCATAATGTTGGAAGGGGCTTGCACTCGTAGATTCTCAAATAAGATTAGTAAATTGGTCAAAAGAAGAGAGAGGGTACTGAGTGGTGAATTGGTAAGAATTAAATTGGTAATTTTTTTTAATTAATTACCCAAATAGGATTTTTTATGTCTTAATCAGTCAATTTTCTAAAGAAACATTGCTAATTAACTTAAATTGAAATAAACAATAGTTGGCTTTGGTAGATATATTTTGATTTAGGTATTTTTAATCTAACTCATTCTATAATTTTATTAGGTTAAAAATAATAATGGCTCAACATCAACCTCCACACAAGAAAGTGAAAAGTATGTCTATTCTCTTATTCTATCAAAAGAGAGGCCAAATGAGTGATGATGGTCAATCGAAAAAGGATATACCTAGTGGTAGTGCATCTAACATTGATGATGATCAATCAAAAAAGGATATACCTAGTGATCTTGATTTGCAACCTCCTGTCGTACCTCAAGTTGTTGAACCCAATCAACTTCACTCCACTTCTATTGAAAGAGATCCCGACCTGATGAATCAAATGGATGAGGTTAGACGAACTTATATCAATTTGGGGCCTTATCAACCTAAACTTTCCAATCATCCTAACTTTTCTGATGGAAAGCAGAATCGGCGATTTAAGTATGAATGGTTCAAACAATTTCCTTGGCTAGAGTATTCCCCTTCAAACGATAAAGCATATTGTTTTCCATGTTTTCTCTTTGCAAAGAGAAATAATACGGCGACGAGTCGTTCTTCACTTATTGATGGTGATTTTAGAGGTTGGAAGAGAGTTAATGATGGAGATAATCGTGTATTCTTAAAACACATGGGACTTCAATCCTCACCACATACAAAATGTGCCATGCTTTATGGGAACTTAAAGAAATCGGCGCAACATATTGATAAAGTGTTGAATGCCCAATCAAGAGAAAAGGTTTTGAAGAATCGAATGCGGCTTAAGGGAAGTATTGAAATCGTTCGCTTGCTAGCACTGCAAGGAATTACTTTTAGAGGCCATGATGAAAGTTCACAATCGAAGGAATTTTATCGAACTGTTAAAGTGCAGAGCAGAAGGAAATGATGAACTCTCAAGTGTTATCTTAAACAATGCTCCACAAAATGCCCAATACATTGCTCCATCAATTCAAAAAGAGATTCTTCATATTCTTGCAAATAGAGTGAGAAAAATGATTTGTGATGAAATTGCGGGAGGCAAATATTGTATTGTTGTTGATGAAGCACAAGATAAGTCTAAAACAGAGCAAATGGCTCCTGTTTTAAGATATGTCAAGCATGATGGTTTGTTAATGGAACGTTTTTTTAGCATTATGGGAGTTGAAAACACATCAGCAGTTACGCTTAAGGATGCAATATCTGATATTCTTGTTCAGTTTAATCTTTTAATTCAAAATTTGAGAGGTCAAGGGTACGATGGTGCTAGTAATATGCGTGGTGAATGGAATGGACTACAAGCATTATTTTTTAAAGATTGCCCATTTGCTTATTATGTCCATTGTTTTGCTCATCGACTACAACTAGCATTAGTTGCAGCAGCAAATGATGAGCCAAATATTTGGCAATTCTTTTCTCACCTAACTTGTATTGTCAATCTTGTTATTTCCTCTCCCAAGCGTCTTGTTAAATTACAATCTTTTTAGAGGGATGAGATTGCATGTATGTTGAGCACAGGTAAACGTGAATCCAGTAAAGGGGCTAATCAGATTGGCACATTGCATCGAGCTGGAGCAACTCATTGGAGCTCACATTATGATTCTGTGAAGGATTTGATTGATATGTATACTGCATCCTGCACAGTTGTTGAAAGTCTTAGAAAGGATGGACAAAGTCAACATATACGTGGGCAAGCTTTAGGTGTGTACAAGGTAATGAAAAGCTTTGAATTCATATTTATCTTACACCTAATGTATAAGATTATAGGATTCACTGACACACTTTGCTAGGCTTTGCAACGCAAATCTCAAGACATTCTAAATGCTTTGAAATTAGTCTCAACAACTAAAACTCTTCTTCAAAAATTCAGACAAGATGATTGGAATATTTTCCTTGCCAATGTTGTGTCATTTTGCAATCGAAATAACATTGATATACTTGATTTGAGTTCTCGTTATGTAGAGGGTACGGGTTGTCATTGTCAGTAACAAGATCATATTACAGTTGAGCACCATTATCACTTTGACATTTTCAACTCTACAATAGATTTACAGTTGATAGAGTTAGAACATAGATTCAGAAATGAAGTAGTGGAACTTCTTACTCTTAGCTCGACTTTGGATCCTAGTGATTATTTTAAATCTTTTAACATGGAAAAGATATGCATTCTTGCTGAGAAATTCTATCCTTGGGATTTCACTAGTCAAGATGTTAAAACATTGAAGCATCAGTTGATGCATTATCAGCTTGATGTACCTAGTGATCCCAAGTTTCAGAATATTTCTTCTCTTACTGATTTAAGTCGGGAACTAGTTGTAAGCAGGAAGATTGAGTACTATCCTTTGGTTGACAGATTGATTCGTCTTGTGTTGACTCAACCTGTTTCTACAGTAACTACGGAGAGAGCATTTTTAGGCATGAGACGTGTTAAAACAGTGAGGCGTAGCAAGATTGGAGATGAATTTCATGCTGACTTCATGACCATCAACCCTGAACGGGAACTTATTTGAAAAATTGACTTGGAATCTATTATCGACGAATTCGAGTCTTTAAAGACTCGTCGAGCACAACTTAAATAGATATTTTGTAATATTTGAATTCAAATATTTATCTATGTTATGTTATAAATTTTTTTATTTTTATTTTATTTTTTGGCTTAAGATATTTTGTAATTAAATTTATGTTTAATATTAGCCCACTCCATTCAGAAATCCTGGATCTACCCTTGATTAACTTGTTGGAAATTGCTATAAGAAAGTATGTTAATTTGTGTAGTATAAATTCTTCATTTTCATAGTATTGGCAAAGTATGCGATATTCATGCATAGCATTGGGCATGAAAAAGGGCAAAATGATTTGAAGTGAATGAAAAAGGGTGCTTTGGGAAAAAGTTTTGATAAGTGGTTTTGTGAAAAAACCTGGACACCGAGGGAGTACCGAGGGTTCGTGGCGTTGATATAACCTAGAGGGAACTAGGGAAATTACCCTAGCGTAGTTGAGTTATCTGGGCCCCAAATGACGTCTCAGGGTTATCAAGGGTCAGGGACAATAACCAATTCTTCTCTTATGTCGCCAAGGCGTCACCGAGGGACGGATTATATTAACAGTTTGAAAAGTGAAGAAATAGAAAAGATTTTGAAAATGGGGAGCGACATAGCATGTTATAGCATTCCATAGCATCATATTGTCCATTTTGTCCTTGTAATTGTTGTATTTTCTCCCAGCACAGCATGATCCCGTTTTCTATATTTCTATTCATTATTTGGATTCACGGGGTCACAAAAGGTGTGTCTTAGGCACCACTTACTGAGTTTTATGCTCACCTTATTATTTAACATTTTACAGGACACGGAAAAGAAGTGGTGAATGACATTTCACCACAGGCCTAATTTGGATTAGAAGATCATTTTGCTATTTTTGTATCTAAGTCTCACTATTTTTGTTAAACTTAGCATATTGTATTTTATATGGAGACTTATGGACTTTTGTTATTGTAATTGTATTAATGGGCTGTAACTTTAATATAGGTTGTTTAAACGTTGTAAGATATGGACTTTGGATTTTAACCATATTTTTTTATTTTATTTAATTTTTTTTATTTAATTTTTTTGGGACTGTAATTATGATACTTGGATTAAATGGTATGTGGTTGTTCCACCATTAGATAAACTATGTTGAGGCATAATGAATGGATGAAAGGAATGTTGAAATGTATTATTTTTATTGTGTGTTGAAACAGGTTAGATAAGTTTTGAAGGTTCAAGAGAGGCTATTACATTTTTTTTTGCATTTAAGCAGGTTGTTGTAGGATCCTTTTTAGCAGAGGTCATGCCGAATTTTTTTTTTTTAATTGGTATCAATTTAGATTCGTTATAGATTTTTTAAATCTCTACTTTACCATTATCAAATTGTTGGTTCCCTCGAAATTCAAAAAAATTTACATATACACCATCAAATTCTTCTTTCTATTGGGCTAATTTGCCTGTCAAGTTCTACAAGAGTCATCAGAGTTGTCCGATCATAAGTACCAATTCTTGATTTTTTAAATCTCCATCTTCCAATCATTAATGATGACATTGATGATTATGATGAAATTCCAGCCATTTTAGACAAAACACCTTAAAATCGCCTCTATCATTTTACCATTCGATCTTGAAAGAAACCTTTAGGATCATCAAAAAGGCTTTTGTGTCCCATACAATCAAAACATGGACACAAGAAAACAAGAAGGGTGCAAAATGATACTTCCCAAAGTCCGACACACTGGATCACAACCCACAAATGGGCAAAAAAAAAAAAAAAAACCAACCAACCAATTGGCCGCACTATCACCCCTTATCCCCAAAGGGAAGGTTGGAGGTTTAAATCTCGGTGCAAGTAGGAAGTGTGTGTAATTACTTCTAACTTAAAAAAAAAAAAAAAAATGCAACAAAAAACAATCTCAATTTTTTTTTTTTTCCAAACGTATGTGGTTTTGGATTCTCTTAATTACTATTGGCCCAAAACTTCTATAAATAGCGCTTCCACCACCAAATTTTGGACTTACATACAACAAACCTCCTTTTTCCAATCTGAAAGGATCTCTACACTGACCAAACAAGTCATTTTGTAATTTCCTCTTTTTTGTTTAATTAACCTTTCCTTTTAAACCAACGGTAATTGGAGGAAATAAGTCTTCAGGTCAACGCCGCGGTACTTGGTCGTATTTTTCCCAGGGGTCCAACGACAGCAAACTCGGAAGTTTCGACCCTTTTCCCAAATCAAAACATGTTTTGCTGACATATACACGAAGACGATTGCATTCCTCTCACCTCTTCTCAGGAAAAATCAGAGTAACTTCTGAAATTCCAAAATATTCATTCCTTCTCTCCCATACTTGCACACCCACACTTCGCTGAAGAGTTGACAATCGAAAACACAACCAGAAGATCCAGAAACCTCTTGATTTTCAGTAAATTGGGTTTTTCCGATTCCTCTTGATTTTCAGTGAATTGGGTTTTTCTGTGCAGAGAAAAACAATCATATAGATGGCGTTAGCCCTCGTGGGAGGGGCTGCTTTGGGAGCAGCATTTGGTGAATTACTGAAAGCAGTTGTTGATGTCAAAGACAAAGCCATCACCTTCAAGTCCAACCTCGACCGACTCGAATCAAGACTCAATTCACTCGAACCGATTGTGCGTGAGATTGGGAAATTGGACCGAGAATTGGACATTTCTCCGGAAGAAACCAAAATGTTCACCGATCGGTTGAAAGAGGCCGCGAAGCTGGTCCGCAAGTGCTCGCAGACCAAGTGTTTGAAATTCTTCAAGAGGCCTTCGTACTCTAAGAAGCTTCTCGAATTTGAAGATTTGCTTGTGAAATTCTTTCAGACGGATGTTCAAGCTATGCAGACAAGAGATAGCAGGAAGACTCTGGCGAAAGTGAATGAAATTGATGGGAAATTGGATAGAATCTGGTCGGGTGTGAGGAAAGGTCGACAGGTTTGTGATTCGAATGTGTTAGTAGGTTCGTGCGGAGCTCTGAGAGTTTCGGATTTTATTATTGGATTAGATGCGCCACTTCAAGAATTGAAGATGAAGTTGCTGCAGGATGGTGTACAGGTGGTCGTGCTTTCGGCTGCTGGAGGATGTGGGAAGACTACCTTGGCCAAAATGCTCTGTTATGATGTTGAAATTAAAGGTATTGATATAGGGATTATTATCTCATCTTCTTGCCTTTGTTGTTCTGTTTAATTTATATATTTATTTTTGGGCAATTGTTATGTGCTTTAGGAACTAATAATTTTTTTTGGTGTCATATTGAGCCATGCTACTGGCTAAATTTATCTAAAAGGCCTTTAAATTTTGTGTCATGACTGGAGATCATTTCTTTTGCCAAGTTTATTAGCATTGGTTGTAACTCAGTGGTTACATAGCGTTCTGTGATGGAACTATGAACAGTTCGGTTAGGGTTCTAAAAACTAAAGAACTTCTCTGTTTAGATTCCAAAAGGACCGAACTAAATTGAACCATTAGTTATATATATATATATATATATATATATATATATATATATTGTTGGAGGATATAAATATTAAAGTTACAAACTCTCTAATAGCTTAAGATTTCAAAGTAGATGGTAGTTACCATGATATCAGCCGTCACCCTGATAACAAAATAAATCGAAACACTTGTTGGACCAAAAGAAGTCCATACATGAGTGGGCATGTTGAAGGATTTAAATATTAAAGTTACACCCTCTCTAACAGCTTAAGCTTTTAGAGTAGATGGTAGTTAACATATATAACTACCATCATTTGATTTGTATTTGTAAATATTGATATATATATATGAACTGAGCCGATGATCTACAATTAGGTTTGATTTGGTTCCACTGGTTCCAATGGTTAGGTTTGGTTCCAATATATTTGGATTGATGGGACCAGTTTGGTGTTGATTCTTCCAAGAACCGGACCGAACCGAATTATGTGCACCATTACATAGGACCTTTTTAGCTTTCTTCTTTTAAAACAGTGTTCAAGAAACATAAAACAATTGTCTAACGAACTACAAAGACATTTCCTTGAAGTCTTTTTTTTTCAAACCTCAGAAAACTATCGACCAATTTCATTTTGGAATTGTTTTCTATTTGTCAGTTTTACTCTTAAAGAAAAAAGAAACGTTTAGTTTCTGCAAGAAAATGTATTTGCTCGATTCCTCAGTTTTATTTGATTATCAATTATTTACTGCAAAAGAAAAGTTGTTACCAGACCTTTGAAAGCTTGGAAAGAATTTCATCTATGAACTTCTTAAATTTTTAATGCTGTTACATATTGTATTGTACTTCTAACCTATTTGAAAATGCTATGCTTGGACAGGAAAATTTCAGGACAATATTTTCTTTGTCACGGTTTCGAAGTCACCCAATCTCAAGGTCATTGTTCAAAACATGTTTCAACATAAGAACTTTCAGGTGCCTGAGTTTCTAAATGACGACGATGCAATCAACAAATTGGGAAACTTTCTGGTGAATCAAACAGGAACAAGTCCTAAGTTGTTGGTCCTGGATGATGTATGGTCTGGATCAGAATCCCTTATTCTGAAATTCATGATCCCAATACCAGAATACAAAATATTGGTCACATCAAGATTTGTATTTCCTAGATTTCATTCAACATGTAAATTGGAACTGTTGAATGATGAATATGCCATGGCTGTTTTTCGAAATTCAGCATTTCGTCAAGGTGAGAGCTCCAACATACCAGAAGATCTTGTCAACAAGGTAGAATGCAAACGCTTGTATGGATAAGAGCTTATATATTTTTTCGTACTTGTCTGATATGATAGAATTGTGTTTTTACACATAGTAAATCTATGCTTACATGTTTTACTTTTGTATCACCATTTTTGTAAGGATCTGAAAATATAAAATATGCAGCCTTCAATACGATGATTTTTTTACTTCGGAGTTTGTATATCCGAATAGAACTTTTTTTTTTTTAAATGGAAAAAACCATGGTAGTACATTCTAATAGTTAGAATACTCTAATACTTGGTGAAAGAGTCACTGACTTCTAGCCAAGTGGGACTGGAACCTTGACCAAAATTATCCTCTTTTTTTTTTCCCCCTAATTGGTACTCACACACACATGCCTCCAATGAGGCTCGAACCCCTGACCTCTCTTTGAGAAGTAGGGGCTTGGTACCGCTAGGCCACTGACCTGTTGGTCCAAAAAGTAAAACTTCTATTTACTTATCTGCAAATTAGAAGCATGTCAGATTCAATTAATTGAACAAGAAGTAGAACTTGTATTTACTTATCTGCAAGTCTGCATTATTTCCATTTAGTTGAAGATCAAGAAGTAGATATTTTGTATACTTGTCTGCCATTCTGCATTACTTTTCTTTGCAAGAAATTGCAGCTGATTTAATTTGCCACATTAAATTGCAGATAGTGAGAGGTTGTAGGGGATTCCCGCTGGCCCTTACAGTGGTTGGTGGATCGCTATGTGGACAACCTGAGGTGATCTGGAGACGTACACTAAATCAATGGTCTGAAGAAGGGAAATCCATTTTTGATTCTAGCAGTGATCTGCTTATTCATCTCCAAACTAGTGTAGATGCCTTGGGTGAAAAAATTAAAGTCATGGAATGCTTCCTGGACCTAGGTTCATTTCCTGAAGATCAAAGGATCTCTGCCACCGCTCTTATTGATATTGGGGTGGAACTACACGACCTAGATGAAATCTCTGCTCTTGCCAACATCCATGATCTATTCACCCGAAATTTGGTCAATCTTGTGCTTACAAGGTATTATAGATTCCTATTTTTCTTTAAAATGATCAATCATGGTCTGTTTGATGATGTCTTGTGTGTTAGTTTGCAAAAAGGGCCATAATGATTTGATGGTTCAGTAACTTCAGTTTATTCGATGTGCTGGATGGGGTGGACTGCATATATTATTTAAATTTTGAGTTTTGACCTTTTCTAAATAATAATTAAAAAAAATCTTTTCCACAAACTGATTTCTGTAGAGTTTAGACTTCAATATACATTAAGTTTTAGTTGTCTGTCAGTTTATGCATGTGCATGTCCTAATAGGAATAGTAATTGAATGTTTTGTTTAGAAGGTAGAGGTAGCACCAGTTGAGGGCCTTGAGGCAAGATGAGAGGAAGCCATTGAAGACTTGTCATAAAAAAAGGGATAAAAATGGTTTGAAGGGGAATAAAGTGGAAGGGGATACAGGGTTGAAAGCCAAAGAGATGCCAGGTGTTTATATAGCGATAATTGGCAAAAGGTGGTTAAAAAATAACACTTCATTGTTTATTGTTTTTGCCATTATTGTTATTATGTCACTTTATAGATGACTATTACCAATTGTGGTCCCCATTAATCGAGGAATTTTGTAGGGATGAACAAATGTATGTGGCCTTTGGTATTCTTTACACAGGGGGGCTGCTGTCATACTGATAAATAGAAGTAGCAACTGTAGTCAAACTCAAAAAACCATTTTCTTACTTTAGAGCTCAATTTTATTGTTAATTAATGATGCCCTTAGCATCATCACCATCATTACTATTATTATCATTATTATTATTATTATTATTATTATTATTATTCCGTATGAACGTCCATTGAGAGGGCTATAGAAAACTGAATAAGAGGATGGAATATATGGGAACTTTGAATTGTAGGGATATTCCAGCTGCTGTTTTATCCCGATCTTGTTTTTAGTTGCCAAATTGACCCTGAATTTCTTTGTTCATTTTTTTTTCCGCAATTGATTGACTAAGCATGGGGCACGGCATTAGGATATTTGTTATAAATTGTATGCCTAAAAATAGAATTTCACCATAAGTAAACCTGATTTACTCCCATTCACAGGAAAGATGCAAGTGAGGTTGATGGCGGTGAGCATTTTGTCATGCAGCATGATCTGCTGAGAGAGCTGGCTATTCACCAGAGTAGCCAAGAGCCTGTAGAACAGAGGAAAAGGTTAATTATGGAGATAAGAGGAAATGACCTTCCCAAGTGGTCAATTGAACAAATGCAGAAACCCTTACAAGCCCAACTCTTGTCCATCACTACAGGTTTGCTTATCTCACATTTTCAAAATGAATCCTGCTGCAGAATATTTGGTATTGTTTTCTTTTTCCCCTAGTTCACACTGGGCAGAATTTGATTGCAGATGAAGCATTCTCCTCAAACTGGTGCAATATCCAACTACCTGAAGTTAAAGTTCTAATATTGAATTTCTGGACAAAGAACTACGGCCTACCTGAATTCATGGAGAAAATGGACCAATTGAAGGTTCTGATCATCACAAATTATGGCTTCTCCCCAGCTAAACTGAGCAACTTTCCTCTACTTGATTCATTGTCCAGTCTAAAGAGAATCAGACTAGAGAATGTTTCAGTTTCTTCCCTTGGTAAATCCGCATTACAATTCAGGAATTTGCAGAAAATATCCTTAATTATGTGTGAGATTGGCGAGGCCTTTACAAACTGTACCATCGATATCCCCCATATGTTCCCAAATCTTGTGGAGATTGATATTGACTGTTGCATTGATTTAGTTAAACTGCCTAAGGGTCTTTGTGGTATTGCCTCCCTTAAAAAGCTCAGGATCACCAAATGTCATGATCTTGAAGAACTTCCTGAAGAATTGGGAAGGCTAACAAGTTTAGACATACTGAGGCTTCATGCCTGTACAAACCTTTTGGAGCTACCAAAATCAATCGGAAGCCTCCATGAATTAAGAGTTCTTGATATATCTGATTGTTTAAGCATGAGTCAGTTGCCAATGGGGATCGGTGGGTTGCGTGGTTTGGAAAAGCTTGACATGAGAGGTTGTGAATTTCATAAGTTGCCGCCATCGGTAAAGGACCTTTTAAAATTAGAGGAGGTAATATGCAACAAAGAGGCTTCTGATCTCTGGGAACCTTTTAAGACTCATGTCACCAATTTGAAGATAAATGTGCTTGATGAAGAAATCAATTTGAACTGGCTTCCCAATCTTCACTTCTGAGAAACCATAAGAAAATGGTGTCTAACCTGAGGTATATTTATTTTTATTCGGTTGTTTTTCTTGTTATCATTGTTATTACTGTCGCTAATGTTATTAAATATTTGGTTGTTTGTTTGGTGTTGGTGTTGGTGGTCAGATGTTGTAAAGCATGTACTAATTTACAATTTTGAGAGTCACTGCTGTTGCCATTACAGTGTCCAGTATAGCATAGAGTTGGTTTTCATCATACTTGGCGGAAGAGAATTCCTCTAGCAATTCTATCAATGCAAAGAGAGCGAGGTGGTTGTTTGACAGACATCTTCATCAGACTGTAGCGGTTTACCTGTTGGGTACTGCAAGGAGTTACCCGACTTGATTTAAAGTTTAACAAGTTCACTTGGGTAAGGTGAAAATGCACTCAAGACTCAGTTCCTTCACCAATCATGCATGGAATTCGGACGTTTGGAGAATATTCAAGTATGATGAGGATATATGCAAGCGATTTTCAGTTACCTTTCCAGAGGGTCATTCCCATGTTAAAGATGTTGATACCCAAGGAAAGCATCAGTCCATGGTGTCTTCAAATATGATTGACCAACATGTTATGCAATTTCAGTACATATATGTTTATTTCCTTCCTCTGATAGGTCATATATATATATAGATCATATAAAAGCAAAAACGGTGGGATTGTTAGTGGTGTTACAGTGTTGATGAAGCAAATGCAATGCTGCATTTTAGAACCTCATGTTTACTGTATAATTCTACAAAGATAGCAATAACCAACGTGTGTGTGTCTATATATATATATATATATATTCTCTTGCTACGTCCTTGAAGAGATGGGATCATAGACCCCCATGTTTTGATCTAGTTGTTTATGATGTAGATGGGTCAAAGAAAAGGTACGTTATTGGTAACAAATTGAGCAATAATTAAATTGGATCATCTTGTGCGAAATCGTTACTATCTAGTTTTATTTTCATGAGATGGTTTGTGATAGAATCTATACATATTTTATTTACTTATTATATATAAAAGAATTTGAATAATCACACTAGCACAACTATTGAAATATTTGTTTACAAATTTGAAAAAAAAGAAAAAAAAAAAATTGAAAAGCTCTTATTAAATTTATCATCATACCCTTTTTGCATTTAGATAACAAAATAAAACATTGATGCATTAAAAATGCCTCCAAAGTAATATAACATGAAAAATAGGCCTATCTCATTTTTGCAAGTAATTCTCTTTCGGAGTCTTGTTTTTTGTTCAATATTGAATTCGGAGGAGGTTATTATGAAATCATAGATAACATCAACAATTTAAACTTTTAAATCGAATGAAAACTGTCTATGTGAATACACCCGGATTCACTTTAAACTTTTATATTTTGTTTTTGTTTTTGTTTTTTATTTATTTTTTTCCGGGAAAGTTAACGAGGGTTTAGGAGTTGGGCCTCCCTTACCGTTGGATTTCTCTTACATTTATGACATTTAAATTTCTTTCGCTCCGGCTCACTGTCCGCCGCTGGATGGATATATATATATATATCACTCATCCTCGAATCGCATATCACAATATGCTTCATTTAATTGCAGAAAGAGAGAGAATTAGATTCCTTTTCATCTTGCCTTGTGAATTGGATTCCAAGAAAATTCACAGAAATTTCTACAATTCCCTTTGCTTCTCTCGTACTTTATTCCAAAACTTCACTGAATGAGTTAAGAATCAAAAGCAATTCCTCCCATTTCAAAGAATTAGGGTTTTCTTTGAAGAGGAAAACACATAACATTGATGGCGGAGCTGGGAGGAATTGCTTTGGAAGCAGCCGTGGGTGAATTACTCTCAGTTGTTTTGGATGTGACAAAGAAAGCCATCAAGTTCAAGTCCATATTGAAGGACCTGGAATCAACGCTACAAAAAATCGAACCAGTGTTTGCTGAGATCGAAAAGCTGAACAAAGTGTTGGATCGTCCTGCTCAAGAAACCGAAATGTTCACTGATCGGTTAAAAAAAGCTCAGAAGCTTGTCTACAAGTGCTCCAAAATTCGATGGTGGAATTACTGCAAGAAGCCCTTTTATGCACAGAAGCTCATCGATTTGGATGCTTCAATCTTGAAGTTCTTCCAAATCGAGGTTCAAGCTCAGATGTCTGTGGATAACAAGAGGATTCTGGTGACAGTGAAGGAAATAGATGCAAAATTGGATGGAATGAGGCCGGGGATGATGAAAGGGAGTGATCTGGGTGTGTTTGTTGGTCCGTGTGGAGTTCCTGGAATTCGGGATCATATTTTTGGATTTGATGTGCATCTTCAAGAATTGAAGAGGAGGCTGTTAAGGGATGGTGTACAGGTGGTGGTGCTTTCGGCTCCTGGAGGGTGTGGGAAGACTACATTGGCGAAAATGCTCTGTCATGATGTTGAAATTAAAGGTATCATTATAAAGATTCTCTCTTCGTTTTTTGTCAGATTTAATTTGGTGAATTTCACATGCATTACGAACCTGTGGTACATTTGGATGAAAGGAAGATAATGTTAGTTGATATTTACACTTGTAAAACTCTCGAGTTTTGATATATGCATCTTGTTGGAGCCATAATCTAAATGATCAAATCTAAATTTAAGTTATACTCTTTAAAAATATATATACACCATAATCCGTTCATTTTAAATTCCAGTCCATATAAGACCTAGTAGTTTGCAAACTAGTGAATGCATTATTGATGTAACTGTATTAGGACTACAACTTGGGTGGGCCCAACCTGAAATAACCCGAGCCCAATCCGAAAATTTGTGGACTTGGGCAATGTTTTTCTAATTTCGGTTTGGGCCTGGGCTATATATTTTGAGCTCGAATTCAATTCGGGCTGGGCTTGGGTTGATATGGATGAAGCCCGAAGCCCAACCCGAGTCCGAAAATATTTATATATATTTATAATTATACTTATGTCACAAGAGTGTAGTAGCCAAGTTGTTAGTGTCCTTAAGATTTATACTTAAACTTTTAGATTCAAGTCATGGGTGTAGCATTAATTGATTCATTTTTTACACACAAATTCTTCTGAGGTGGGCTTAGTGCAGGCTTGCTTGGATTGGGCTGAAGATTTTCTATATGGCCTTAGCCCGAAACCATTTAAATGTATGTCCTGAATGAAAATAAATGCCAACATTTAAATGTGGAGTTAGCAGCATTGATTTGAATCAACTGGTTTTATAGTTTCTGCTGAGGCACATACTTGTCTGATTCTTAGTGAATTGGTCATTTCTTTTGTTCTTAAAATCAGTTTCTAACTGCAAAAGATGAAGTTTTTTCAGAGACTTGCCAAGCTTTTGTGCAGAACTTTTATCTATGAAATTTCTAAAACTTATAATGATATTTTATAGTGCCATCTTTTGGCAGGCATATTTAGAGAGAACATTTTCTTTGTCACGGTTTCAAAGACACCCAACCTCAGGGTCTTTGTTCAGAATATGTTTCGACATAAGTCTTTTTCGGTGCCTGAGTTTCAAAATGACGATGATGCACTCAACCAACTAGAGATCTTGCTACTGAAGCAAATAGGACCAGATCCTGTATTGTTGGTCATGGATGATGTGTGGTCTGGATCAGAATCCCTTATTCAGAAGTTCATGTTCCGAATACCAGGATACAAAATATTGGTTACATCAAGATCTGAATTTCCAAGATTTGATTCTACATATAAATTGGAACTATTGGATGATCAAGATGCCATGGCTCTTTTTTGTCACTCAGCATTTCCGCAGGGTGAGAGCGTGAACATGCCAGATGATCTTGTCCACGAGGTAGAATACAGAAACTTGTATGCACGAGTTATTATTTTTGTTTTTGCACATAAAGATGTGAAGTTATGCTTGCATGTTTTACTATTGTCAGCAAATCTGCATTAGTTACATCCACTTAAGTGAAGATCAAGAAGTAGGGCTTGTATTTACTTATCTGAAATTCTGCATTACTTTGTTTCCTTTGCAAAAAGCTGTCACTGATTTAATTTCCCACATCAAATTGCAGATAGTGACAGGATGTGGGGGATTCCCACTGGCCCTTTCGGTGGTTGGCGGATCACTCTGTCGACAGCCTGAGGTCATCTGGAGACGTACATTGAAGCAATGGTCTGAAGGACAATCCATTTTTGATTCCAACACTGATCTGTTTATTCGTCTGAAAACTAGCATAGATGCCTTGGATGAAAAGGATAATGTCAAGGAGTGTTTCCTGGACCTAGGTTCATTTCCTGAAGATCAAAGAATCCCTGTCACGGCTCTTATGGATATGTGGATGGAACTGTACAACTTGGACGAAGACGGGGTATGCGCCCTTGCCAACATCCATGAACTATCCTCCCGAAATTTGGTTAATCTTGTGTTTACAAGGTATTTTGCATTCCTATTTTGCTTTGAATGGACTAAATTATGGTTATTTTTTATTTTATTTATAATTATTATCTCGTTAGTTTGTGCATGTGGTTATTGACAATGCCTAAGACAAGTGGGATAACGTGATCTAAGTTGGAGGCATTTAGCGGTGGAAGAGATGCCCTAGATAGTGATTGTACAACCCCGTGATGAATAAGAGTTGAGGTGGTAAGAGAAGACTTCATGACTGATTATGTAGCTTAACAAATGGCCCTAAATAGTGATTGTTTAATTGTTGTTGGCATTGTTGTAAAAAAAGGCAAGCACCTATTGCAATCCCCATTTATCTAGATGTTGGGAGGGATGTTAGGTCTATATACTGGAAAGTCCTAACCTAACATTCTTGATTATTTGCACAAAGTGACTTGAACCCATGTTCTTACTTACTGTTAACTATAGTAAATGATGTCTTATGAACTTTCATACATAAAGTAATTTACAGAGATTTTGGTAAGAGGAGAGGTATAGGAATTTTGAATTGTTGGGCAATTCTAGCTACTATTTATCCTTATTTTGTTGTCAGTCGTCTCTTTGATGCCAGAATTTCTTTGTTCTAAGTTTTTTCCAAACTGATGGAGTAGGCATGGCTGGGTACTTGCTATTACCTTATGCCTAAAAATTGAATTTCTCTGTAACTTGTTTCACTCCCATTCACAGGAAAGATTCAAGTGACATTGATGGCTACTATAACGAGCATTTTGTCACACAGCATGATCTGCTCAGAGAATTGGCTATCCACCAGAGCAGCCAAAAGCGCATAGAACAGAGGAAAAGATTAATTATGGAGATGAGAGGAAATGACCTCCCCAAGTGGTCCACTGAACAAATACAACCCTTTCATGCCTGCCTCTTGTCTATCTCTACAGGTTTGATTATCTTATATTTTCAATATAAAACCTTGTAGAAAATATTATATTTATTTCTTTTTTCTCCCAATTTACGATGTGCAGAATGTTGGTTGCAGATGAAACATTCTCCTCAAGCTGGTATAGCATGCAACTACCTGAAATTGAAGTTATAATATTGAACTTCCGGACAAGAAACTACAGCCTGCCCAAATTCATGGACAAAATGGACCGTCTGAAGGTTCTCATCATTACAAATTATGGTTTCCATTCAACTGAACTAAGCGATTTTCAGCTACTTGGTCATTTATCCAGTCTGAAGAGAATCAGACTAGAGCATGTTTCAATTTCTTTCCTTAGTGAATCCACATTACAGTTCAGGAATTTGCGGAAGATATCCTTGATTTTGTGTAAAATTGGCGAGACCTTTAGGAATTGTACGGTCGAATACACCTATATGTTCCCAAATCTTGTGGAGATTGATATTCATTGTTGCAGTGATCTAGTGGAACTGCCTGAGGGGCTCTGTGATATTATCTGCCTTAAGAAGCTCAGCATCACTAAATGTAATGACCTGGATGCACTTCCCCAAAGACTTGGAAGACTAACAAATTTAGAAGTGCTGAGGCTTCATTCCTGTACAGGACTAATGGGCTTGCCGGATTCAGTTGGAAACCTCCATAAATTAAGGTTCCTCGACATATCTGACTGTTTATACATAAGCCAATTGCCGACACGGATAGGTGAGCTGTGTGGTCTGAAAAAGCTCGACATGAGAGGCTGTGAACTGCGTCAGTTGCCATCATCAGTCAAGGATCTTGGGCAATTAAAGGAGGTGATATGCGATGAAGACACTGTCGATCTTTGGGAACCTTTTAAGATTCATCTTAATAATCTGAAGGTAACTGTGCTTGAGGAGGACAAAAATTTAAACTGGCTTCCCAATATCCACCATTGAGAAACCTCAGGTATATTTATTTATATTCATTTTCTTCTTTCTGAACAATAAATAAACAGATGAAAAAAGAAGTTTATTTATTTATTTATTTTTATTTTCGATTGATACAATCCATTCTATTACAATTATAATATAATATCACTACAGTTAGGATTGTCGCCATTGTCATAGTTCTGAACTTCTAATCCTAGTAGTGTCACTGTTCACAGCACCACCTACCCTCACTAAATTGCAGCATCCCACTACTAGGACCATTGCCATTTGACAGCTGCCATTGCCACATCCATCTTATTTGGGGCATACTTTGCAACTTCACCATCAGTGTCTCAACATTTAAAGTGAAACACACTACTTACTACCTCTGCTTCGATGTTGAGAAACACCATTGCTTCTTACCATTGTTGTGATTTCCTTGATGTTGCGCGCACACAGTTAGTTACGATGATACTGATAAGTGACCTGTGCAACAATGTCAATGCCTGTTCTTGGTTGATAGCAAAGTCTATGCCTCTCATTGTCAAACCATGAAGTCTTCAGTTCACAAGATCCATTTTGGAATTGAAACCATGACTTAAATGTAGAGATGCATCAAGTGAAATAAGTACATATAATGTATGAAGAGATGCTCTAAGAGCGCTCCGCTATCAACAAAAAAAAAGTACTTTAACACCCACGCTTTCTCTCCTCTCCCCTCTCCCCTCTCCCGCTTAATGTGACTTAGTTGTATCTCTCTTACCTCTCTCCTCTCATTTATGAGAACTTTTAATTGACCATCGTTACATCAAAACCAAAGATTAATGATGAAAATTTTACAGATTTAGATTTAATTTCGATTTATTTTGTACAACTTTTACATTACATAGTGTTAAATTGTGAATTTTAACTATTTGACATCATATAAAAATCCATTTGAATCAAACATACCAGCAATCTAAACAACATCGCTTTGAGTCCAGTGGAACCGATCTATTAGTTTATAGGAATAGTTAGGCAATGTCCATAAGTGTTGCAGTAAGAATGAAATGTCTTGCTCGTTTCTTGATTCTGAAATTGCCGGGCGTATTGTTTCGAAATGGGAATTACCTGCTTCTGTAATTTGTCCACCTCCGAGGCTGCCGGACTGATTAAATTGCAGGGGAACCTCCTTGCTCCTCTCTGAATCCACCACCAACGGTCAAGGTTTTGAATTATTGTCTCTGGGTTTGTCCTAGTTTGGGCTTGGGCTTCTGGCTCATGTTTTGTAATGTCTAAAAGATGATGGCCTTTTGGGCTGAACCCCAGTCTTACTAAAGAATCAGGACACATCAAGGGTTTATGGGCCTTCTTCTGACAAGGTCCAATAATGGACTCAATTAATATTAAAACCATCAAAACTACCTTAAAATTATATAATTACCTTAAAATTATTTATATCTGTATCTAAATGTATATACTATTATAAAAGTACAAATAGTTTCAGATAATTATTTTATTTTTATAATGCATTTTTTTATTTTTTTAATATTTTTTTCAATAAATATATAAAAACATAATGTTTCATTGACTCGTAAACACAAACTATTCTTTTCTAATTCTATTTATTCTTTATTTATATAAGGATCTTAATTAAGATTGTTTGCCTCTAACCACATGCACATGTACTTTTACTAATATTAGTAAAATGGTATGTGCATTGCACGTGAGTAAATTTTAATTTAAAATAGTATTTACAAATTAATTAAATAATTATTTTTTCAAATTATAATTAAAATTAATTTTTTAAAATAATCACACTAATATATTAATTAATGATCAATTAACATAAAATAGATACAAGGTAAAAGGGATAAAAGTAACAATTTTGAATTGAACTTTTCAATAGGAATTCAATTATTGATAGATGTATTTTAAAACTCCTAAAACAATGTCAAAATTAAGACTATTTTTTAATTAAAATTCACTAATATTTATTTTAGAAATGAATAATATTTAACAAATTAATGAAACTCTTTTTAAAAAGGAAAATGAAAATCTTAGACAATATATATATAAAATAATAAGATAGGGAATATGCGTTAAAGTTTTATAGAAACTCTTCTAAACACCTTATATTAATTCAAAAAAAAAAAAAATCTTAATAAATAGGTAATTTGTGTTAGAGTTTTATTTAAACTTTTTTTTAAAAAAAACTTTTTTTTATATTAATTAATACTATATTTTAAATTAATAAATAAATACTAAATATTTTTTATAAATAAATACTCTTTTATATTAACTAATAAATATTTTATATTAATACTGAAATACTGAAACTTTTTGTGTTAGAGTTTTATAGAAACTCTTTTTATATATTAATTAATAAATATTTTATATTAATAAATAAATACTGAAATACTAAAACTCTTTGTGTTAGAGTTTTACATAAACTCTTTTTAAAACTCTTTTTATATATTAATTAATTAATATTTTATATTAATAAATAAATATTGAAATACTAAAACTCTTTGTACTTTTATTAATAAGTATGTATAGGGGTGGCAATTTATGCCTAAACCTGTTAAACTACCCAAACCCTCCCGCTAAAATTAAATCATTGGATGACTAATTTAAGTTAAGTGGGTCACTAATGGATAAAAAGTGGGTACCTAATTATACGGTTTCCATTAGTTTAGCTCAGGAGTGAGATTAACTGAAAATGTCTCAACTGAGAATGTCGAGTTACAAAAAAAATTGTGACTGTAGCCAGTCATAATGAAGAACGCAACGATCAGGATCTTGAGATAGAACTAGAGGGTGTTGAATGTGTTGGTTCCCACTTTTTGCTTAGGTTTTGACTTTGCTTACACATTCACACAAATTTATTTAATCGTTTGAATGAGGAAGATAATATATCAGAGTCAATTAATTCAACTGTAAGTCAATGAATCTAACAGCTTTCGTATTTAATTAAGTGAATGACTCTTAAATAAATAAATAAACAAATAAACAAATAATTTATTTATTTAAAAAAATAAATAAATTGATTTAAACAAACAAATAAATAAACTTTTTTAACTAGCTCTTAGTTGATTTTAACTTAGCCAAATAATTATTAGTGAAGTGCTAAATCTGTTTTAATTACTTTAAATCATTATGCACATGTATGTGATGATGTCATCATGAGAAATATCCAGGCATATATCAATCAAATAGCAGTGTATAAGCAATTAATATGTGTGTGGCGGCCCTAGTTTTTAGGCCAGTGCGTCCTATGATAAACCAAACGTAAATCCAACAGTAGATCCAGAATGCGGAAGCAAAAGGTATAACAATAGTCTCTAAAGATACTACACATTTATAAAACACCAATGTGATCCTCAATGAGATCACGAAACCCAAAGAATGCAAATGTGGAACGATAGTCTTAAAAACAGATAAGAATGAACCTAGGGGCAAAATAATCATTTCATAGAGAAATGGATGCTACCAAGCATACCATTGGAAAGGCAACGAAAAATTAATGAATTTAGACTCAAGAACAACTTGATTCGGAATCCGGACGGAAAAGATATGAAAATAACAACAAAACGGCATTCTCCGATTTAGAGATACCACGACCCTATCTCACTAAAACTACAATAACTCTTACTATGGTTGGAGTTTTGATGCATGGTTGGTACCATTGGAAATCTAACTTCAAGCTCTTGAGTTTAGACTCAAGAACGACTCAATTCAGATTTAAAACGAGTGAGATATGGCCATCTGAAGGAACATGTTTGGAGTAGGACCTACCATGGTGGACGCCCACTAAAACCATGCACAAATCCTGCGAGCGCCCACCAAATCCTACAGTAGCCTGGAGATTTTCACAGGGCCCCGCCAAAATCCGCGGGGGCCAGCCAGTTGCTACCCCTGCTGCGGATTGTTGAACCCTACAACGTAGAAATAGAATTTGGAAAACAAGTCTCAAGAACCTAGGTAGCTTAACTAATTATTTGCAAGTGTTTGGAACATACTTAAGGGTGCAATCTAATCAATCAAGGAAAAATAAGCAAAAAATGGCCTTAAGGCCTCATGGCATGTCATTTACAATTTATGTTCAATCCTTGAAATCCCATGTCTTCTAAAAACAAACTATGAAGTTAAGCCAACATACATGTCATATAGATGTCTTTGGCCTTTGACGTCATTACATATACATCCAAAGAGTATCAAAAGGTGCACTTAAGTGCACATTACATAGCTTAGACAACAAATATAAGTTTTTATACAATACACCAAAAAGGATCATGATATGCTAACAAGTGCATATTCAATGTCACCAAAAAAAATATTCCAAGAATTCTAGCAAGTCTAAGAGTGTTGTGCATCCCACAATAATGCTTCTTTACCTGAAAAACACCCAGTAACTTCAGGGGTGAGTAAACAAGTTTACTCGTAAGGAATGAACATGCATAAGTTTAACTTATTACAAAGTTTGCAATTCAATAGAATTTAGTCCATACTACTATAATGACATTGGAACTTCTAACATAGCACAATGAGATGCAATATCACAAGGTTATCAAGTTTGGAATTTAAATGCGAAATCAAACCAAAGTGGATACTTGGACATCACGCCGGATCAGACCAACATCATAGTTACTTTAGGGTTACTAGCCCACGAGTAACCTCCCTATGTGCGCACTATAACCATGCCCTAACCTTAGTCATAACAACGACAATCCCCCGTACTAGAACCATGCCCTAGTCTTAGTCATAACAACGACATCCCAAGTTTCCAAAATCAACAATTCGTGCAACAAAATATATGTATTAACATAACATATACATATATACAATGTAAAGCCATCTACCATACACAAACCAATTTTGGAAACATAATACATGCTCTAAGTTCACAACTATAATGGCATGAAGAATGTTGAATAATCGCTATGCAACTTGTTATTCTTTATAACAATGTCCATCAATATTAAGAATACAATCCCACAATTATTGTACAAGTCTAGAATTATGATTTAAACATGCAATTGGCATACAAGACATACTCAAATCATTAATGCAATAAGGATATAAATTAATTAAATGAAACAACTAATTTCTCTAGATTTCATTTCTCATCCAAACATGTTCAATTTAATCTATGTTGTAGTACCTATTATGGTCATTACATAAATCACTTCAAAACTTGATTTAAATCATAAGAACATAATAATGAAAATTAATTAAATTAATTAACCAATTCCTCTAGATTTCAAAACAACCATAAATGATTTCAAATTAACATAAGTTATGAATCAAGTTATGGTCTTTCTAAAAATCATGTCTTAACTTAATTTCATGCAAGGTATCATTGACTATCAATTTAAAGATTTAGATTAAGGATATGTAGTTCATTTGTACCAAGTTATAAAACATATAAAATATCAAAAAAATATAGTTTAGAACACCCCCTACCTCATAAGATGATTATTCCTCTTGAATCCAAGGAAAGAAAGGGAACTTCAAGTTTTCCTTCTAGGGTTATGTAGAAGAGAGTGAGAGGAAGCAAAAGTATTCCAAGGTTTTAAGTCTAAGGTGAGTGGAAGCAGGCCAAAATAAAGCTTAAAGCTTCAAACCAAGTTTTACTTCAATGGTTGCTAGGTTAGGGTTCTTGAGAGGAAAAAGATGAGTGAAATGAAATGTGAAAACCCAAAGTTAAAAGTGGTGGGCTTCTCCACTCACTAGGTATTCTTGCACTACCTCTCACACACACACTTGCAAGACTAAAGGTGAGACCTACACTTGTCACAAATCTAAGGTTTCTTCCTAGGCTTAATCCTAAGCCTACACTTGTCAACCATCTAAGCCAACAAGTAGTCCA